CTATAACGCTAGTATAATGCTAGTATATAGGGCATAGAGTAATGACAAATAAAAATCGCTTGTTATTACCCCTAACAAGGCTCAAAATAGCCCCACACCAACATGACAGCATAACAAGGGTCCCTACATTCAAACCGAAGCATTGAGAACTTTGTCAGTGTCCATACAGTTTAATAAGAAGATATTTTATACACACAGTTAACTTCGCGAATACAGGAAGAAGCCATCTTTGAAAAATAGTCTCTACCAGTCGATCTACGAGTGCCGACGAACCACGAACTGTTTATACAGTTCAAAAGTTCGCTGAACACACAGTTCAGCTCACTTGGCACATTGTTCGTGGTTTGAATTATCAAGACTGTTTTACAAAGATGGCTGCTGCTGTGTATACACGAAGTGGACTCTTTATACAGTATCTATTATTAAACGGTCTGTACACTTACAAAGTTCTCAATACTTTGTTTTGCAGGCAGGGACCCTCATTATGTTACTGTGTAAATGTGGGGCTATTTTGAGCCTTGTTAGAGGTATTAACTAGCGATTTCTTTTTACTTAATAAGTGCCCCAATATACTAGCATTATACACTAAACAGTTTTTAGAGATTAAACTCTTTACATTTGATTATCATGAAAACAAATCTCAGAGAACGGTTAACTAGGCACCAAAGTTTTATAAGACCAAAGGTTAATTTTTTGCCGGAGTTCTCCTTTAACATGGTATCGCGTGGATGAATAATCATATGCAAATGATATGCATACGAGGATATGCATATTTAAACTAGGCGTTGTAAGCTCCATATATGGTTATTTTAGGGAGGAGACGCATGTGCGCACAATCTTCGGCTGACTGGGATTTATAAAGTGAATTCTGCGCAGGTTCTGGCGTACGAACGGTTTTATAAATCTGAATATTTTTTTTGCTGTATGCCATTTTTGGCTTTTGGGCGCATGTACACTTTTAGTAAGGATCCTACACACCGTTTTATAAATGAGACTGGATCAGGACATTTTTCAGCCTTTTAAGAGGACCAAATCTGAGGTGTGGTCGTATTTTGGTTTTTACAAAAGTCCTGAGGGAAACTTAATCGAGGATGGTTACCCTGTCTGAAGAACATGCGCAAAAAAATCGCTGTAAAGGGGGAAACACTTCAAATCTGCCGATCGTCTTGTGTGACCATCACCCTCTGTTGTAACTTTTAGCAAACGCAAGGCAAGTTAATTTTGACCCCATTACCAAAACTACGTCTGGGAAAAAATTGGGCAAAAAATGTTATTGAGTTGAAATATTTTATGTCACTCACTTGAAATAAATGTGAAGCTTCCGTGAAGAAAAGTCTACAACAAGTTACTTTGAGCCAAAGACGAACAAACATGTTTAATTAAGAGTGACATTTAAGAGATAATAATGCAACTTTATACTTATTGTACACTTATTATATAATTTTTTTAACACATAATTAAGTTACAGGGACGTATTGAATTGAGATTAGTGTTTCAAATCTTAATGTTACCTGTTACAGTACAAAACTCATCCAGACAAGATGATCACAACAATATTATCAAACTCTGTAAGTAATAAATCACCTCATTTTCTCATTTCATTTTCAATACAATCAAAAACTGAGACACAAGTGTCAAGATGGCTAGTTGTTTTTGAATGAAGTGAGAGCGTGTGATTCATGGATGTGCCGTGTTTCTATTGACGACGGTCATTATAAGGAAGGAAATGCCACAGAATAGAATCTGCTTGTTTTATTTGTTGTTTGTAGATTTATTAAATCTAAAACTTTTCAAAATGTTTTCAGTGTGGGCATACGTTGTTTTTGAACTCTTTCATCTCATTTTAACAAAAGGCCACCTCATACCTCTGCAAGGTTTAGCCAGAGGGATGCTTCTGGACCACTATGCTGGACATCATCTGGCTGAAGGCCAGCACTGTGACTTCAAACACAGTCAGTCACCAGGCACAGCTCAACCCCGACTCAGAACTACCCTGCAGGGAAGAGGCGGTCTGCAGTAGCACTACCGCCCCCACCATTGGGGCCTTGCCATATTGGCATGAAAATGTATGCGAGTGAGTGAGGGGCCCACACGGACTGGTTACCGGGCGAGGAAGCCCTCAGTCTTATCCTCCAGTTACTCTGACTATATGCAGAAGTAGCCCTTTTCTGGAGCACCAGAAAAAGAACTAGATCGGGGCATAGGCAAGGGGACTCCACCTCGTTTGAGGCACTTGAGTCTCGACCATGCATCTAGAGTTGCCATGACAACCCACGCTGTCAGCCAGCAGCTCGATGGCACGATGATCACTTAAACCTTAATAAGAAAGGCAAGATGAACAACGTATTGACATGCTCTCAGAGAGAACATAAACCACCCACGAGCACAGTTTCAGCAGACTTAAGCCCAGGCATGTGAAACATACGGTTTCATCACCTCCTTCATCATCTCGTGTTCGAAATCCACCTTTGGGAAGGGCATCCATACTGACCTTTGCAGAAGAATCCAATTGCACCAAGTCTGGCTAAACAGACAGAAGCATGCAGCCAATGCCTGCCCCCTACCTGAGGATATACGTATAACGCCTGCAAGAGCTGCTATTCTCCAGTTGACATTAATTTCTCGCGATCTCTGCACGTACACAGTTCGATTGGATTACACTGTTCACTTGCGTGTCTTCAGGAGGACATCAGCCTTCACCAGACGTGACAGTTGTTTTTCTTCAACCTATCAGCTGTGTTCTGCATTTGGAGCTACCCACGCTCTCGCCGTTCTCTCCACCTCCTTCCATGGCTGGCGGAGTTCTTAGCTAATATTTTGCTGTCTAAACCTTCTACTTCTCTGAGAAACAGCCTATCACGGGCCTTCCCGGCCGTGTGTGGTGCTCTAATTGCAGCTAAGGACCTGCACTCTTCTGCAGGGTCTGCTTAGGCCTCAAACACACTCAAGAAGCCTTGGAGAACCCGGAGAATTACAGTCATTGTCTTATGCTGTCCAAGAAGCTTTTACCACAACGTCTCAAAGTTGCCGCAACCCAGTGTGCCGAGCTAGGCCTTTCTGACTTGGATGGGGGACACGGAGACGACGACAATGCGCTACCGGGGGACACCCGGGGCACCACCTTATTTGGGCTGACCAGCCCAATCCAGCTTTCCCCGAAGAGGACATCTTCGCAGGCAACCTCATGCTCGTCAACGAACCGACCGATTCTGGCGACACGGATGACACGGCCCTTCTTGGGGTCTCAGAGGACGAGGAGGCCATCCCGCCCCTTGGCTTTCCCCTGGCCATTGCCCACACGGCCTTGCCTCAGACGATCCTCCTGGAGGTTTGCGAGCAGCTGCTTGCCTCAACATTGAGTGGCCAGCTCCAGAGTGCCACTGATCAGGAGGGCGACATTTACGACGGGAAAGTTCTGGGACACCCTCCCGGTCCAAGAAAACAACTCTTCCCCATCCTTCCAGCATGCGTGAAGCACATGAGGCACAACTGGAGCGACCCGCTCGACTTCAAACGCAGTCTCATGGGCTTTGAGGTTGAACTCAGTTGCCATGTAAGCGCGTCTCTCTCTTTCTAATGAACTGTCCGTTGCAGTTTTTTTGGCTCCTGGCTACTGTTGCTTTTTGCTTGCTCATTTGGGTATTTTCAAATGAATTAACCAATCAGTAATGCCATTGATCAGATTCACCAAAAGTGAATGTTTTTCCACTAAGAAACGAACATTGTTATTATGTTTTGATTGATACTGTGAAGACTGTGCTTTGATGCAATCTATATTGTGAAAAGCGCTATATAAATATACTTGACTTGACTTGTTGCAGTTCAGAAAGGGGGCGAAAGTACAATATCCCACATGCCTCAGGCTGCAGGGTCTAATGGCTTCATCCATCCAGTTTGTGGCGCTGGGACTCCTGAGAATGAGAGCGTTCATGAGTTTTGTCACTACATTTCAGCCCAATTTGTAATCTTTGCTACGCCGTTATAGTGATATGCGCCTGCTCAGCAGCCTTGCGCCACTGGAAGAGTACAGACTATTACGCACAGGAAACCCCTCTGGGGACGGTTATGATGCGGAAAGTTGTGATGACGGATGCATCTTTAGCAGGCTGGGGTGCCACTCTGGAGGGCAGAACGGTGAACAGTCTGTGGCCGAGCAGACTACGTTCAGTGCCATAAATTATTTAGAGCTTATGACCGTATGGAAATCTCTGATTTTATTTCATTACACTGTCACGTCGACTTTACATCGAACGTGAGCAGCTCAGCTGCCTCATGGGCTTTGTTTAGGGGATTGTCACTGCAGGACATCTGCTCCGCTGCCAGTTGGGCTTCTCCTCATACAGTATGTTTGTGTGTTACTACCGGCTGGATGTCACCAGTATCTCAGTAGCACATTCGGTTTTAGGGGTGGGATCTTCTTAGCCCTTCCCTGCAACCATGTTGGAAGTAATAAATAAGGAGTGAATGGGCCGGCTTGCCATGCACATTCCTGTCACCAAGCACTTTTGTCTGTATATATACTAATTCGTGTTGCTGGAGTTATTATCATGTGTGTGCCACTTACATGTTTCATGTCTGTGCTGTAACACCAACACCAGCTTTGAAGAGGCATTCCCCTGAACAGTAGACTTGTTTTCTTCTTTGAAGACAATGTCAGAAGAACCGCTCGGCCCCCGAAGCAAAGACGATATGCAATGCACCTGCTACTCGTTTTATGCTCGCATTGTAAGCAGAATATGCATTGGCTCGTTTTAATACTCTTGAAGACCATTGAGACCAACACAATCTCTGCTTTCTCAAGGCGATCCCAATTACACTGTCACGTCGACTTTACATCGAACGTGAACAACTGAAGGGGAACTATGAATGATGATATTATGCATATCTGCTGACATATTTTTTGTAGACCAATATGGATATTAATCGGTTTGAAAAAGACAAATATTTTGACAAATTTTAACTCTCAAATTTTACATTTTTTTTTTGTGTCCTATCATCAGGCGAGGTACAGGACTCTTTGGACATTGGTCTGACTGAGGTTCCTCCCGTAAGGAAGCCCACCAAAGACAGTCCATGGAAGGAGAGTGCTGTCCTTCAACACCGCCAGCAACTGAAGACCAAAATGAAGTACCACAAAGTAGAGGACCCTAAAGCGCCGCATGCCAAACAGGTAGAGGATCAAAAATACAACAAAACCAATAAAAAATGCTTTATCTTCCCCTATAGGTTGTCTCAATGGCACTGTATCTTAGATCTTGTGGAATTGCAGAGAGAAGTTTATATTTGCCTAAAGTGTATATTTTCTCTGAGTGGGATACTCATTTATGCATTCTAATGTTGTGAGCTGTAGGTTAAGTCTAAATCTGCCATAGCTGTTCCAAACCCGGACAAAATACTTTCCAATGGACTTATGCTGGATATTTGTCTCTAGAGCTTATTTATCTTTGCTGAGGGCCTTGACCACGATACAGTGACTAAATCTGAGCAATCTACAGACTTCAAATACACAGTAGCATGTTCAAATAACATTTTTCAGGTTGTATTTCAGGTCTTGTTACCTTGAATAAACTTGAAACATCCACAAATGACACAAAAACATTAGTAAGTTGAAGTGATTTTAACGATGTGTATGCATTACAGAGTTTATTTAGAGAAAAGCTAAAATGTACTCACTTCCACGTCATTAAATGATTGGCTGGAAAAAAGTAGTTCTGGGGTCAATTTGATATTAATGTTAAATATGACTGTAGAAACAGCAACCTGACTACTAATGTTCTATCCATTGAATTTTATCCTGAGATATTTTCCACCTCAGCTGTGATGATTTAGTGTGCATTAGCTTGGCCTAATACTTAACTTAGACATTGATAACACAAGTGTTGAAAATTACACTTTATGAGTACTGGTATCATTCAAACATATCTTCTAAATATTTTGAACAATTCAAGACACAATGGTGTTATTGAATACTTCGATTGAAGACAAAAATTCAAACACTTATATTTACATATTTTAGAGTCAGTGTCAGCAGGAGCTGGACCAGGTGCTGGAAAGAATCTCAAAAATACCCTTCAGAGATAACAGGGGTCCCCTGGAGGACCTCTATTCCCTGCACATACCCAACTGTGACAAAAGGGGGCAGTACAACCTGAAACAGGTATTTAATTCCCTTTCCAACAGCATAAAGTTCAGAGCAACACACATTTTTGTAGATCTAGATATTTGACATGAAATAATAAATGTGACTTGCTGTGATCCACCCAAACCTATTTGAATTATTTGATGATAATTATTGTGCATGCAGGCAGCTTTTAAAGCCCATTATTAATTGAGTTATTAAACGTAATATTTGTACCCTTTTAAAATGTATTTCACATGGCAGAATGGGAGGAGCTTGTTTATCTAATCTTATCAACCAAGCACAACTTACCTCACTCCACTGGCAGTTCATCTAGCATCCCTCTTCCTCCCCATCTCCACTAACTTCATAATCTTCAGGCTTCATTCAGCCCCACCTTAACTGATGGTGCGCCAATTGTTCCCCCCTTTATCAAGCTCTTAAATTTTATGATTGTTGAAGTTAATTAACTATCCTCATTCACTTCCTTTGTAAGTGCTTATTAAAAAAAATACATGAAATGTGTTTGTATTTATCAACATTTTGCCACAAATGATGTCAATGGGCTTTATGCACAGCTGCACTACTTCCTGAACTTCAGCCAGCTTCTTGTTTCCTGTCTGCCATTATTGGCCAAATTGATGAATTCAGGTGTGTCTGATTATTGTTGCCATGACTACTGAGGTCAAGCACACCTGAATTAATCAATGTGGCCAATAATGGCAGACAGGAAACAAGGAGCTGGCTGAAGTTTAGAAAGTAGTGCAGCTGGGCATAAAGTCCATTGAGCTTAAAGTCTCTGGTTAATTTTTGTTCTAAAAACTTATTTTGACTCTTTCTTGTGTTTCAGTGTAAGATGTCAGTGAATGGGCATCGTGGTGAGTGCTGGTGTGTGAATCCACACACAGGTAGTCCCATTCCCAACTCTCCACTGACACGGGGTGATCCCAACTGCAGCCAGTACCTTGATGGCCTAGAGATGGATCCCTCTGTCGACCCTCAAAACTAAAAATATCCCGAACCTTCCCATCTTGACCTTCAAGCCTACAAACCCACAATCATGCCCCCAAAAGAGTCAGTGTTTCACACTCTCTAAACAAGCTACAAAATACCTTGTTTTTTTTTTTTTTTTTTTTGTGATTGTAGATTTGAGATGGTTTAAAACATGTTACACTTAAACATATTGTTACAGTTGAAGTACTGATTTAACTGAACTGATAGTACTTAAATTAAATCCAAATTATGACATACAGTTGTCGTCAGATTTATTGGCACCTTAAGTAAATATGTTCAAAGATGCCTTTACAAATAAGGGGGTTGTTGGAGGGGGAATTCTGACCACAACTGTATGACCAGAGGACTGTATTAGCAGGCTGATAATACTACTTTTCTGTAGGAAATTAACTAGAATTGTAAACATACCTTTTTATTGTTTAACCTTAAAACCTTTTACATACTTAGTATGTATTTTGTGCTAATCATTCTGTGTACGGTTGTAGTTCTCTCATTATGTTGCTGGTGCTATTCATTCCAATACATTTCTTTAACAGGTTCCTTTCACATAACGAAAAAAAGTATTTTATTTTATTACTATTTTTTTTTTTTTTAATGGATAGGACGCTACATTATAAAGTTAAAAAGAGATAGTTCCTTACCTTAAATAATTTACAGAAATAAAAGATTTATGGGGCTGCTTATGAAGTCTTGAACTTTTTGCTTAAAAAAACCCTGATGTATGCTAATAAAAGTTGTCATTTGATTATTTTTTTTTTCTCTGAATGCATCGGGAATGTTCAAGTCATAGTACTAGGGCTGCATCCGAAATCGCATACTCTCTTGAGTAGGTACTTATTTTGAATGAGTAATTACTTCTCAACTGCTAAAAAAAACTATGTTCTATATTGTATGAGTCTGTGTAGTTTGAATATAATCTGAACGTATAACATTTACCATGTTGTCATTATCATGTGACCTTATCAGCATCAGTTGAGTCACTTCACTGTCATTTACAAATCCTCTCCCTAGGCCTCATGATAGTAAAGTGTCCATTGTTTGCACATTTCAGAATTTCGCCGGAAATAGTTGTTCATTTTGCCTACTCTTCTTTGAGTACTGGGAATTCGGCAACTATATAGAAGAGAAGTATCTGATTTCAGATGCGGTCCAATACTAAGCAGTTTATACTAATGCAGTTGATGTTCTGCTACAATTGCATGTAACTACTGACATCTGGTGGTCACACTAAGGAAGAGAAAACACAATTGCAACTGCATAAATACTCATTGAAGATGTGTTAAATAGATTTAATAGAGAGAGATGTTCACTGAAATTTTAACTTAACATTATGGTTTATTTGTGCAGATTTTCATAATTCAACATTTCTGTTGGGTGTTATTGTCACTTGCTGTTTTGGACCCTATGCCTATGTACACAAATAAAGAATATTTCAAGGTATTTATAACTTGTATTTTATTTGTACTAGTGACTGAATGAATAATCATCTCTCCAGTGATTATTTTTGTGACCAAAGTATAATTGATAAGTAGAGTACACAAACAAAATAAAAACAGAGGTTATATTCGTATATCTGAATATCTTTATATGTATATATTTATTACATAAATGTATTGTCTTTACAAAGTAGACAAAATTAAGAGTACATAAATTACATGAATAAATATTGCACACAGATATTTAGATGTCATACAAATTTAATCACCCATATGACTTGATTTGGGGTTAACTTAAATGAGCTATTAAAAAGGTATCCAAATTATTAGAAACTTCAACTGAAAAAGTTATGGAAAAAATGACCAGTTTTTATTTTGTATAGCCATCAATATTCACTCCATTATTAGATAGGCACCTTAGAAAACTTGTCACACTGGTCTGCTTTGTATTTTTGTCTCATAGTAGTGTGTCTAATTTCCCCACACGGAGTTGTATCGTTCAGAATCATTTCCGTGTTATTCAATAGTAAAAAGAAGGATATTGTCCTTTAAAAATGCACTCACTGTTGATGTTGATGACATAGAACTTTCTAAAATTATTCAATCTGGGAACAATTCTAAACTGTTGTCAGCCTCTGATCTGACACTAAGTCACACCATGCAAATAACCTCATAAGCACCAAGAACATATTTATAGTATTAGAAGGGAAACTGGTTGCACCAAATTCAATTATGTAGGCCAAAACCTAATAGTCCTTTGGTATTGTACTACTATGGCATTTTCATAATGCAAATAATCTCTGAATTTGCTTTTTTGCAATCTGCACTCCTGCAAACTAAAGGTCAGCATTTTGAGTGTTTGTGTTTTGCCTTCGTGGCCCCTTTGATGCCTTTGATGTAAATCAGTATTCAAATATTTGACTAGAAAAAAAGGCACTGATATTTCCATAAGAACCCAAGGACCCTGATCTGTTAAAGTTAGAAAAAATAGAAAAATGGCTGGTTGATTCGTCACCATTGTGCATTCTAATGGTGAGTCTTTCTTGCATTCCATGGTGATTCATATAAACTACATGTTTTTCCATGTGTCTAAGATCAGTAAGAAGGTGTGCTAAGCTTTCTTTAGTTTATTTTATTTTATAGTGCACTAAAACAGTGGTTATTAGAATATGAATTTTCCTATGTGGTTCAGGTTGGCAAAACAATGTGGTAAGACTAATAATATAATTTCCTGAAATCTTTGGAAAAAAGGGGGAAACAAAACAACAACAAAAACAGAGTCTGTGAAGACAAGTAAGTCCTGTGCCATGGACAAAAGCAGAGTCATATGAAACAGTAGGCTAATATTAAAGGGATAGTTCACCCAAAAATATAATTCTTTCATCATTCGCTCACCTTGTCATTTCAAACTTGTATGCATTGCTTTCTTCTGTGGAACACATAGTGATAGTTTTTCCATACAGAACAATGAAAGAAAAATGGGTCAAGTGTTGTTTTTGACCCCACTGACTTTCATTGTAATCATTTTTCAACATATAATTATTATTTTGTGTTCCACCGAAGAAAGTACTGTGTGTCATACTATATTAAATGACACGAGGGTGAGAAAATGATCTATTAACTATCACTTAAAGTTTAATTAACTATCCCTTTCAGCTCTTTAAGCTTATAAGACTTTCAACGGTGTCTATGGCATAAGATACAGTGGAAACTAGTTCACTCCCAAACGATACTTAATAGATCCCACCAACCAATGAAGATCAAAGAGGACAATTTCAGGATTTAATAACAAATGCTTGTATTGTGCTTTAAATTTCCACAAATAAAGGTCAGACTCTTTAAGATTAGAAATGATTGGCAAATCACATAATATGGTAGATGAGAGAGAGAGAAAAAAGAGAGAGAGAGTGAGTGAGAGATGATGTTGTTGTTACGTGACCAAATTTGTTGTCTCATTCATTGTTGCTGCCGTTGCTTTCAAGATCTTTACACTGGATGTTGCTTCCATTAAAATCAGTGCCAGGCATTTGAACTCCATGCTTGTCTACGCACCAGCAGATGCCTCGCTTGCGCCCCCTGGAGGGTTTACACTGTAACCGAAAATGAACAAAGCAAAGTAATTTGACCATACCCTCAGCCAAGTGCCAAGTGTTTATAGGAAAGAAAACTTTCCGACAACTAAGCATGCCAGTAGTTGACATCTACAAACATGCTGAAGTGCAAAACTAACCTGTTTGCCCTTGAAGAAACCTTTCTTATCACAGTTGGGTAGGTACAGTGAAAGAGCCATGACTCTGGGGCTGTCCTTCATCCTCTGGATAATTCCATCCAGCTTTCTTCGGCATGGACCCTGCAGTTAGCACACACATCATTAACAGAACAGTCTGGAAAAGGTGTCGGGCATTTATAGAAAGTTGTAAAATAACACAAAACACCATGAAAATATTAGTTGATTAAAAAAAACCTTACAATGTCAGAGAGATGTTTGTCACTTCCCAAGAGCGGGTAGTCCATATTTGTCCTGAGTTTAGCCTGCTGTCTCTTCCGATCCTTTCGCATGGCCTGAGCCTTCTTACTGTTAATGTGGTCTCGTTGGAATATTGGAACCTTAGCCTGGGGAAGCAGATCCTCTGTTACCTCTGTAACCAGGGCTTCTTCGTGTGACTCTTGATCTAGAAAGAGGACAATAGTCAAATGCAATGGCATACTGAGATTGGCATTGTTTACGAAACAAATACACAAGGGTTGCTCGCATTGTCAAGACGCCTGTATGTCAGTCACAAAACCAAAAAGACCATCGATCTATAGGCCACATTGGATTGGTGCGCTTAATGTGGATTACAGTGAATTTTCCAGCTATCCATATTTTTAAGATGTAAAAATGTAAAATAGCACCATCATCAAACATTAAACAGCATATAAGTTAAAAACTGCCAAAGGGTTAAAATCTGTGAAGCTTTGGGGGTGTTGATGCACTTGATCTAGGCTACTCCATCTGTTTTGATCATCATTCTGAATTCGATGTGCCTGGAAATAGTCTTTGGGAAAAATGTGATTTTCTCAGCTTTTTGCTTAAAATGTTGTTTAAAAAAAAAAAATACCCACATTCAAGTGTTGATAAAACAGGATGCATGATGCTAGCCAATTTTTAATAGTACCAGTAAAAAAGTACAGTTAAAGGTAGGCCTATATTTCAAGTATAAAAACTAGGAACATATTAATATATTTAAAGTGCTAAAATAATATAGTGATGAGCAGGACAAGGCTGAGGGCTGTGGGAGAACGGCGCAAGGTCGGTGGCGTGATTAATGATGAGTGACACCTGCGCGACCCGGTCTCGTATCTTTGTTTGTTATATGTGACAGCAGGGGCTGCTGTGTTTATTTTCATTTTGTATTTTTCAATTTTTTTTATTATTATTCAAGTTTGTTGAATGTTCGCCGGTTCCCGCCTCCTTCTTCCCATAACATCTAACTACGTTACAAATGTATAGTAAAATATAAGCATTATGTTATGTTCACTTAAAGGACAACTCCGGCGCAAAATGAACCTTTGGTCTAATTACACATTGCTACCTAGTCAACCGTTATCTGAGATTTGTTTTCATGATTGCCGAATGTAAATAGTTTTATCTCTAAAAACAGTTTAGCCTATAACGCTAGTATAATGCTAGTATATAGGGCATAGAGTAATGACAAATAAAAATCGCTTGTTATTACCACTAACAAGACTCAAAATAGCCCCACACTAACACGACAGCATAATAGGGGTCCCTACATTCAAACCGAAGCATTGAGAACTTTGTCAGTGTCCATACAGTTTAATAAGAAGATATTTTATACACACAGTCAGCTTCGCGAATACAGGAAGAAGCCATCTTTGAAAAATAGTCTCTACCAGTCGATCTACGAACGCCGATCCAAGTGCGCTGAACTGTGCAGAATATCATATGGTCCGTTGTTTTCGGAAGAAACACAACCACGAACCGTTTTCTTCTCTTCAATATGTACATGTAGCCTACTGTTCACGCTCACCTTATCACCTTATTCACATCTCACCGGTGCACATGGATCGGCGTTCGTAGATCGACTGGTAGAGACTATTTTTCAAAGATGGCTTCTTCCTGTATTCACGAAGTTGACTGTGTGTATAAAATATCTTCTTATTAAACTTTATGGACACTGACAAAGTTCTCAATGCTTCGGTTTGAATGTAGGGACCCTTATTGTGCTATCGTGTTAGTGTGGGGCTATTTTGAGCCTTGTTAGTGGTAATAACAAGCGATTTTTATTTGTCATTACTCTATGCTCTATATACTAGTGTTATACTAGCGTTGTAGGCTAAACTGTTTTTAGAGATAAAACTATTTAGATTCGGCAATCATGAAAACAAATCTCAGATAACGGTTGACTAGGTAACAATGTGTAATTAGACCAAAGGTTCATTTTGCGCCGGAGTTCTCCTTTAAAGAAAACTTTTTAAAGAAAAGTATACTTGCAGTATAGAACTAGTACTTTACTAAGTGTATGTTTCATAAACTAAAAAAAATGTACTACAAGTATTTACCAAGAAAAACTATCAGTAGGCCTATATCTATAAGCTCACTTGTATAGTTGCAGCATACACACAAAATACTTAGTGTACTCAGTTTACTACTCTTACACTTGGTTGTTACACTGGTATATAGGCATACTTTAATACACTAAAAGTGGGACAAATTTCCCTTGGTATTGAAACTGTACACTTCTAGTACATTGATATGTGTAAACTATCCTTAACATATACTTGAACCTTCCTTAAGTATAGTTAATAAAAAATAACTTGAAGAATACTTATTTTTGTAAGAGTTATCTAAATTGAGAATATTGTGGCTTAGTTTATTTGTGGACCATTGATTTTAACAGAGGCTTAGCAAGACTAATATCTGAAAGAAAGCAGAACTCTTCAGAAGAGACAACAGAACAGCAGACATATTTAAGGTTTTGGCTTTCTCCAGGTGTCTCATAACTGTAGCTCATTGTTTCGGAAATCACTCAAGTCTGCCAGAAAAAAAAAAAAAAATAGCTGTCATGCATATGTCACTGGCCTTGCCTTCCAAACAATACAACCATAATCATGAATGTATTCTAGAAAAGTTATTGAAATTCCGAAAAGTGAAAGCCAGGTATTTCTGAATACACAGTCTATGAAAACCTATCATGACTATTTTGGAAGTTACAAATCAAGCATGACAAGTGCTCAACAGTTTGAACTCAACCACCAGCTCTTTCTTTTAATTGAAAGCATAGATGCCAGATGCCAACTTCAATTTACCCATTCTAGACCCACTTCCTCTCCCTTACACGTCACTGCATTGCCCAGCTGTGAGTAATCAGATTCAAGGGCTTGACCCATTCCTCGCCCCTCTGCGTCTTCTGTAGAGAAGCTAAGCAGCCAGGGTCACAGCAGATGAGCAAATCTCCCAAGCCATTTGTGACATCACTGACAAATCAGAGAAAAAGCCTCAGCAAAGCTTTGAAATCATTGAATAAATCAACATGGTGCGTCCGCTTTCTTAATCTGTTGTTTTATCATTTGCCAAGCATTAGTTAACCGGATGTCTTGAGGGATTTTATGTTTTATTTTAGTGATGTTACGTGCACTTCCATGCCTAATAATCTGGGGTTATTGTTCTGGGAATGAATGCTGAATCTGAGATCTGTGCAGCCCTGAGAGAGAATGTGTGCTTGTTCTTTCTATCTGCTTTCTCTTCTAAGTTTTTTTCTGTTACATTTGCCATGCCTTTTATTATTAAAATCTCATTTGTACAGTACAAATGTTTCACCAAATGAGTGCATTTACACAAACTGTTTAATACAGAGCCAAAAGTTATGGCCACAAATTAAGCAATCAATCAAATTTTATTAATATGTGAGCATGTTTTGTTAATTGTTACATCATTTGGTCCCACTTTATATTAAGTGGCTTTAAGTACTATGTACTTACACTGAAATTAATAATTTGATACAATGGACTTATTGTGTACATACATGTTTTTACATTGTACTTATATTTTGAAAATACCTGCATGTAATTACAGCTGTAATTAATAAATGTAATTACATTTGTAATTACACAGTTGACCCTTCCCTTACACCTTAACCCACCCTTAAACCGACCTATACAACCACACCTAACCCTAACCTTACCCGTATTACACCTCAATAACAAAAGTGTTTTACAATACAATCTGAACAAAATAAGTACATTGTACTTATTTTTCGATGTAAGTACATAGTACTTAAAGCCACTTAATATAAAGTGGGACCCATCATTTTACCTGTGACAACATCTAGTCCATTTTTACGTTTTAGCAAATTTTGGCCATGTTTTTTTCATGCCCTTAAAACTTGTGTTGTCCTTTTACTGTGTCTGATGAGAGTGTTTTATGGGCAGAGACAATTTGCAAGATAAATGAATTTTATTTAGAATTCTGAAACAATTCCATGCGCATGGTTTGAGATTTCACAATGCAGAATAGACCTGAATCAAATTGTCTCTGCCAATATAACAGTGGCCATAGATGCATCTTCTCACACAAACAAATTCTTAATTTGTTTCAACAATATCTCGTTTTAATGCCTGACACAACATACTTTCTGAATACAAATAATTAAATGAATACAAATATGAAATTATTATTATCATTATTACTTTAGATACTAGGTCAGAGCTTAGTTAGTAGCCTTATACCGTTTTGCACCTTTACACAGAATGTGCAGCCTCCTTAAAACAGCCTTAACTCAGGTGTGTAAACTTTAGGGGTTGTTTTGTATTCTGAATACTGCCTAATTCTTCCAAGTCATTCTCTATTAGAACTCAAGCCTTCCATTCCAGGCTAAATTTTGTACGACTTGTAAGATGATGATTCAGAATGAAATAGCTGCAGCAGCTGTTTTCAGTAAATGTGATGAGTTTGCATAATCACAGTTTTAAGGGTGCTGCAGCTGACTTAATCGCAGATTTTTGCAAAGAAAGGCAGGGGAGGCTAAAGCTTGTGAAAGGCAGTGAGATAAAGAGGATGACAGAGAGATAGATCTGCGGGTGTGTGGGTGGGGATTGCTAGGAAAGAATTTGATTTGAATACTAATTCTGTATTCAATAAATGCAAAACTCATCAAGAAAATAGGCTATTATAAATCATACAAGACTGTCTGCTATAGCCTAGAAGTCCTGACTAGATAGATAGATAGATAGATAGATAGATAGATAGATAGATAGATAGATAGATAGATAGATAGATAGATAGATAGATAGATAGATAGATAGATAGATAGATAGATAGATAGATAGATAGATAGATAGATAGATAGATAGATAGCACAAGTCTATTTGATGTGATGTTTACATATTTTTAACAGTGTATGCTCATCTGCAATACGTCTATAGGACGTTTCCTGTAGACATTTAGAAGATGTTGCTTTCTAAATCATTACATCTTAAAGACCTCTTCTAAAAGTCTATTTGACATCTGACAGGAAATGTCCTATAGATGTATTGCTGATGAGCAAACACTCTTAAAAATACGTTTTCAAGATGCAAACATCACATCAAATAGACTTGTGATAGATGATAGATAGCTAGATTAGATAGATAGATAGATAGATAGATAGATAGATAGATAGATAGATAGATAGATAGATAGATAGATAGATAGATAGATACGTTTTGCAATTCGTTTATTGCATATAAAACAGATCTTTTGTAGCAATAGAACTCACCCTTCGGCATATGAAGTGGTTTGTGTAGACCTAGTTTCTCGTTCATGCAAACTCCTTTGCCGTAAAGCAGAGCGTGTAACGGCTTTTCCTCTCCGCTCCGAGGCAGGCAGCGCAGTCCCTGTCCACATGTCCCCGTGTAGACTCCACACGCCTGCCCCTCGGTCAGTGCGCAGGTCAAGCAGCATCCGCAGCCGGGCTCCTTCGCCACCTGACACCCCATCCGCACCGGTGGACACATGGACAGTGCCTTCTGATCGCAAGGCTCACAGGGCACGTACGAGGCAAAAAAGCCGGGTAGACACCATACAAATGTAATCAGAGTATACAAACTTAGCTGCATGGTCAGAGAAACCTATTCCAGTAGCCTTGAATTAGTCGAATTATTTTGAGATAGGCTATCCGAGAACGAAAGTAACGTCCGGTTAAAGGGAAGTGTATCGCTGTTTTGAAAATAGCAATTATCAATCCTCTCTTGATATTAGAATCCAATGGTTCATAGGCTATACATTATCTAATTAAGTCCTGAGATTAAATGGAATGGATTTCGGGGGAAGATAAACCTCAAAAATACGTGTAGGCTATATTCAATCCAATTTAAAAAACGAAATCAATATGTCCCGGTTCTATTAGAAGTCCTGCAGCGTAATCAAGCGAACAGTGTTCACCCTGAAAAGCTGCTGTCAGTATGAAGCTTTGCTCACGTTAACGGCGGTGGAGGGAGGCGCACTGCACTTCATTTAAAGGTAGGCTATTGGTGCTTCTTGGGCGGATCCCAGAGTGATGCTGTGCTATTTAGCTCAGGTTCAGATTAAGCAAAACATAAAGCTACAAAATAAAGTGAAAGATAATTGAAGACTACACACCAGTAAGATGACAAAAATTTAGGAATTGCTCTACATTGAATTATTTTGTCTTTAAAATAGTTTAGTTACCATGAAATCATAATGGTCCATTCTCTTCTTAATAATTATTTATGTGTGCAGATCTTTTTTTATCATGAGCCCTTGTAGCCTAATCTTTAATCAAAGTAGTGTTGCAGGGATGACGCATTTTACCATCATCCTTAAGTCAGTGAGTTTTTTGAATGGGTTTTTGCTTGGGGAATAAGGCCTGGTAAACACAAGCTTAAGATATTTTCACGTTTTATTCTACGACATAAAGTACACCAATAATATACTTATTGTGTTTGTTTGTTTTTTTAAAGCTTTGACTTGTCTTGTAAAACATGGTTTCTAACAAGTGGCTAATTGGGACTGTGGTTGTCGAGGACAAAGCCGAATGTGACAATGGCGACAGGTGTGGCGATACATGTCAAGTCAAGTCAAATATATTTATATAGCGCTTTTCACAATACAGATTGTATCAAAGCTGCTTCACAGTATCAATCAAAACAACTTAACAGTGTTTGTTTATTGCTGGAAAAAAGACATCCAAGTTTGGTAGAGCAGATCAATGGTATGATGGGTCATTTAATTTGAATATCCCCAACTTAGCAAGTCAAAGGCAACAGTGGCAAGGAACCGAAAAACTCCACCATGTGACCCGATGGTGTCCTAAAACTCCATCAGATGACCCAATGGAGGAAAAAAAAAAAAAACCTTGGGAGAACCCAGGCTCAGTCGGGGGCCAGTTCTCCTCTGGCGTTAATGAACTAGAGGTCAAATTTACAGTAACTGTAAAATAAAATATTTATATGAATGCTTGGCTAAATAAATGCATCTTTAGTCTAGTTTTAAACTGGGAGAGCGAGTCTGAGCAACGAACAATATCAGGAAGGCTATTCCAGTGCTTCGGAGCTAAATGTGAAAATTCTCTCCCTCCTTTGGTGGATCTGGATATCCAAGGAATGACTGTGATGGATTGTAGGGCGATAGAAGATCCGTTAAATAGACTTGAGCTAAACCATTTAGAGCTTTATAAGTCGAAAGCAATACCTTGTAATTATACGGAACTTTATAGGTAACCAATGAAGATAGAATCGGTGTTATGATCATATTTTCTTGATCTTGTAAGAACTCTAGTGGTTGCATTTTGGACTATAACTGAAGCTTGTTTATTGAGGATGCAGGACAACCAGCTAATAAAGCATTACAGTAATCTAGTCTCGAGGTCATGAATGCATGAACTAACTTTTCTGCATCAGAGACAGATAGCATGTTACGTAGCTTAGCAATGTTTCTAAGGTGGAAAAAGACTGTTTTGTAACATATAAAATATGCTTTTCAAAAGACAGGTTGCAGTCTATTGTAACACACCCAGTTCTTTTACTGTAGCGGATAAAGTAACAGGGCATCCTAATATGTTAAAGTCGTGCTGCGAAAGGTGTTGTGGACGCTTTTTAGAATGATAAGTATTACCTCTGTCTTGTCTGGATTTAATAAAAGAAAATTACGCATTATCCAATATTGTATATCTTTAACACAGTCTGTCAATTTGGATAATTTAGCGTATTCATCTGGCTGTGATGAAATATATAATTGAGTGTCATCAACATAACAATGGAAACTAATTCCATGTTTCCTTATAATATTACCAAATGGCAGCATATATATTGAGAATAATAAAGGGCCTAACACAGATCCCTGCGGCACTCCAGAGTTTGCCGAAGTTATGATCAATTTTTCCATTTTTTCCATTTTTCATTTAAGTAGACGAAATGGTAGTGGTCAAATAAGTATGACCTGAACCAGCTTAATGCTTGTCCTTGAACACCAGTGGAGTTGTGTAGTCGATCTTAGAGTATTGTGTGATCTATAGTATCGAACGCAGCGCTAAGATCAAGTAAAACTAGTATTGAGATTGTTACGATGCTGGAGACGAGATGAGATCCATGTGCAGCTTTATTTAGAATCATCAAACAGGCAGGGGTCAGGAAACAGCAAAACAGGGATATCAGAGAGTGAGCGCAGAGAGTCGTCAGGTAACAGGCAGAAGATCAGGGCAGGCAGCAAACAGGCAGAAGTCAGGAAACAAACCAGGATCAAAACCAGAGAAATCAGAAACAGGATATACGCTCAGAAATTACAAGCCGTGGCAATGCAATACTTCGCACTGGGTGAGTGTAAGAGTGTGGCTTAAATAGAGAGTCTGATGAGGTGCAGGTGTGTGTGTAATCAGTCACCGGGATGAGGCATTATGGGAAATGGAGTTCTGGAGAAGTGATCAGTTCTGATGTGGAGTGCCCTCTGGTGATTCTCTGGGGCACTCCAACTGGTAATCGTGACATAGCCCCACCCCAAAGAGCGGCTTCCAGACGCTCAAAACAAACAAAATTGTCCAGGTGGGCGGTGGAGCGAAGGCGGATCTGGGGGTGGGATGGAGGGCCAGGTCCGTGGAGCAGAAGAGGAGCAGGTGACCAGAGCGTATCAGGCTGAGCAGGCGACCAGAGCGGAGCAGGCTGTGCAGGTGACCAGAGCGGAGCAGGCTGTGCAGGCGAAGGCCAGGGCGGAGCTGTCGGACCCTCGGGCGTCCAAGGCGAAGCAAACTGTGGGCATGGCCAGAGCAGAGCAGGCTGTGGACGTGGCCAGGGCGGAACTGTGGGACCCTCGGGTGTCCACGGCGGTGAAGACCCCTCGGGCGTCCACGGCGGTGAGGACCCCTCGGGCGGCCACGGCGGTGAGGACCCCTCAGGCGGCCACGGCGGTGATGCCCTCTCAGGACCAGACACCGGCTCGGGACCAGACACCAGCTCAGGAACAGACACCGGCTCAGGAACAGACACTAGAACAGAAATGGTCACAAACACAGAAACAAACACAGAAACAAACACTGGCTCACGAACAGACACTGGGTCGGCCATCTTGTCCGGAGACACTGGGTCGGCCATCTTGTCCGGAGACACTGGGTCGGCCATCTTGTCCGGAGACACTGGGTCGGCCATCTTGTCCGGAGACACTGGGTCGGCCATCCTGTCCGGAGACACTGGGTCGGCCATCTTGGCCGGAGACACTAGCTCGGAGACGTGAAGCGTCTCTGGCTCGGCAGAAGTGACGTGAACAGGCTCAGACTCGGCAGGGCTGACATGGAACTCAGGCTGGGCTGTCTCGGCAGGACGTGACTCTGGCTGGGCTGTCTCGGCGGGACGAGACTCTGGCTGGGCTGTCTCGGCGGGACGAGACTCTGGCTGGGCTGTCTCGGCGGGACGAGACTCTGGCTGGGCTGTCTCGGCGGGACGAGACTCTGGCTGGGCGGAAGTGACGTGAAGCGTCTCTGGCTCGGCAGAAGTGACTTGAAGCGTCTCTGGCTCGGCAGAAGTGACTTGAAGCGTCTCTGGCTCGGCAGAAGTGACTTGAAGCGTCTCTGGCTCGGCAGAAGTGACTTGAAGCGTCTCTGGCTCGGCAGAAGTGACTTGAAGCGTCTCTGGCTCGGCAGAAGTGACTTGAAGCGTCTCTGGCTCGGCAGAAGTGACGTGAAGCGTCTCTGGCTCGGCAGAAGTGACTTGAAGCGTCTCTGGCTCGGCAGAAGTGAAGTGACGCGTCTCTGGCTCGGCAGAAGTGACTTGAAGCGTCTCTGGCTCGGCAGAAGTGAAGTGAAGTGTCTCTGGCTCGGCAGAAGTGACGTGAAGCGTCTCTGGCTCGGCAGAAGTGAAGTGACGCGTCTCTGGCTCGGCAGAAGTGAAGTGAAGCGTCTCTGGCTCGGCAGAAGTGAAGTGAAGCGTCTCTGGCTGGATGGTCTCAGGCTGGACGGTCTCTGGGAACGCCCCCTCGGCCTTATCCTCAAAGCCCACAGTAAATGATGAGCCGCTAATTCTCAGGGCGAATCCAATATACTGACATAAAGTCCATTGAGGGGTATTATCAGGCATGAGATAATTTATTATGTCCTTAAGTCCATATCGGAAAGCATCTTTTAAGACTGAATCATCCAAGTCCACCCCATGGCATAACTCACAAAATTCCTCAACATATTCCTCTATAGAACGATTACCTTGGCTGAGGCGGAAGAGACTAATAAGTGGGTCCATGGTGGATCTCGGTTCTCTCTCAGCTGCTGGATCTGAAGAGGCGAAGTATTCTGTTACGATGCTGGAGACGAGATGAGATCCATGTGCAGCTTTATTTAGAATCATCAAACAGGCAGGGGTCAGGAAACAGCAAAACAGGGATATCAGAGAGTGAGCGCAGAGAGTCGTCAGGTAACAGGCAGAAGATCAGGGCAGGCAGCAAACAGGCAGAAGTCAGGAAACAAACCAGGATCAAAACCAGAGAAATCAGAAACAGGATATACGCTCAGAAATTACAAGCCGTGGCAATGCAATACTTCGCACTGGGTGAGTGTAAGAGTGTGGCTTAAATAGAGAGTCTGATGAGGTGCAGGTGTGTGTGTAATCAGTCACCGGGATGAGGCATTATGGGAAATGGAGTTCTGGAGAAGTGATCAGTTCTGATGTGGAGTGCCCTCTGGTGATTCTCTGGGGCACTCCAACTGGTAATCGTGACAGAGATACAGCCTTGGTCCGAAGCTAGAAGTAAATCATTTGTGATTCTAACAAGTGCAGTTTCAGTGCTATGATGCGGCCTGAAGCCAGACTGAAACTTTTCATAGATGTCGTTTTCTTGCAAAAAAAAAAAAAGGCCAGATTGAGCGGACACAACTTTTTCTAATATTTTTGACATAAATGGAAGATTTGAGATGGGTCTGTAATTTGCTAGGTTATTTGGATCTAATTGGGGTTTCTTAATAAGAGGTTTTATAACTGCCAGATTGAACGTTCTTGGAACCAGTGTTGG